TTTAACTTTCCACACAGGCGTCTCACTGGCCCCCTCGCTGCTGGCAGTGGTCACTTCATAAAGGCCTGGGCACGGAGGAGGGGATGGAATTCAGCATGATGTCAGAAGGGACGTATGCAGGCAAAGAATATCTCAAGTTCAAGACAGTCGTTGAATATTTCATGACCTCCTAATGGACAGGGCAGGAGAGAGGGGCTTAAGGGAAAGGCGGTAGGATGGGTCGGCCACACCCGAAGAGCAACAGAGACTGCCTGCTCTGTCACAGGGTGGGAAATAAGAATGGCAGGGCTCCCGGGCCAGGCTGAGCAAGAACAGGAAGAGTGAGACAGAGAACAGGCAGCTGGATCTCTCCTCCAGAAGCCCCTCTGGGATGAAAGTACCAGCTACGGGGCAAGTTCGTGTTTTAAAGTCACCCGCTATTATTTATCCCAAAGTCACCTGCTGTTTGGGTTTAAAAGTCACCCGCTACGAATCCCAAGGTGAAGGAGACCCGGCTTGGAGGGCAAACCCGACCATGAGACACTTTACAGGGATGGTGCAGCCTCTCCCATCTGCCCCAAAGCCATTGTCGTTGGAGGCTATGACCCTATCCTCCAGGAAAGACTGTGATGATAGAGACAGCGTGATGCAAGCCCTGCGAGTGGAGCATCTTTGAACACTGTCCTCAGACAAACGGTTGGGAGGGCCTGGGTGGTTCATCCTGAAGGGAAAGACAAAGCCACCTCTAGACTTCTGGAGGGCTGCGGAGAGTCTGAACACAAACCCCTCCCTGTGGCCTCAGTTTCCCCATGTGAGAGGCCTCAGACCTGTCTCCTAGCCTCATCTCTCAGCTCCACAAATTCCAGAACATGAGCCTTCTGCCTAAGATTCCATTGGCTTCTCACTACTGGACAGTTGCCATCCCCAGCTCTGTGTCTTGAGGACATTCCAGCCCCTGGTGGATATTGGACCCATGTCCTTGTGTCACCCTGGTCCTTCTGGGCAGGATTTGTCTGTCATGTGTGTTCTGTATCTCTTTTCTACACTCTGAGCCCCACGCCATCAGGAAGAGCATTTGCCTCCCTTACCTTATGGTCCCACTTCCCAGGACAAAGTCTGGACTGTAAGAGCATCTCACCAAATGCTGACTCAGGGACGCATGGCACTAACAGGTAGGCGCCACAAAAAAAGCAAACTTTAGCTCAGCGAACGAACTTTCTAGCACTTTTTTTAATGTTCCAATTTGAGACGGGCTGCCTTGCATGATAGTGAGTTCCCTGCAGGGGCAGCATACAAATGGGGCCTCTGATCTCAATTCAGCTCCACTGAGCTGGAGATGAAGGGCTGTGACCTCTAAGGAACCTTGCAACTCAGAGGTTCTGTGTCACCCTCTGTGTCTCGGAAGAAGCAGCCAGTAATTTGGGGAAGGGGTGGGGCGGGAAGGGAGAAAATATCCTTGGGATGTCAGGCCTGTTACTCTGGAAACAGAACGTTTTTAGTACTGAGGGGACTTTGGTGGGGGCGGGGGGGCAGCTCTGGGGGTGATAAGAACCAGGTGGAGGTGGGAAGGATGAAACTGAGTTCTGGAGTACCAGCTGTAACCATCACCCTGCCCTCTCCATCCACACCATTCTCAGGAGAGTGAAGACCCTGGAAACAAGGGTAGGTCTGGTTCCGCATCTAGTACAGGGGTAGGCCTGTGGGTGTTCATGACTCTGGGAGAAAGTCCCCCGTGAAGCTGATGGACAAGTTGCATCACCAGTGGACCACAATGAGGGTGACAGTGCAGGGCTCCCCCCACCCACCCAGCTCATACAGTAAGACTGTGAAAATGTGCTTTACATAGCAGCCCCATGCCAGCCTTTCCTGATGCTACCCCCCAACTTATCCTGAACCGGGAAGATATCAACAGAGAAGATATCACACAATACTGGATGCTGAAGTTGATCCAGATCCTCTCCCTGATCAGATCCCAGTGTGACAGCACACAGGAGCAGAACAAGAAACAGAGCTGAGCTTGAGGTCTAACCAACCGAGGAGGGGTGGGGTTCGAGATGAGAAGGGCAGACCCAGCCAAAGAAATGACATTCCCGAGACAAGAGTTAGGAAAGCTGCCTGACATGCCACGCACCCTCAATCTCAGCACTGGGAAATTGGAAGCAGGCAATCTCTGTGAATCCAAAGCCAGCCTAGTCTACATAGTGAGGTCCAGGCCAGCCAGGGCTACAGAGTGAGGCCCTGTTAGCATGAGCTAACAGATGTTCCTGGTGATTTTTCAGTATCTAGGGGACAATGCCTTTGTTTGATTTATTCTTTCCTGTTAATTAAAAGGTGTAGACGCTGGGGAATTGCAAGCTGATTTATAGATTTTTTACCAGGCAAAGATGGATGCAATTTCTGCCCAACAGGAAAGACTTCTGCCCATCACCAGCCTATGCTGTCTTCATGGGAGGCCATCACCATGTCGTCACTCAGCTCCAATGGCTCCCTTGTCTTCTACACCTGCTCCCAGAGGCTGTCATCACCATCCCACCTGTCCCCCATTTAGCAGAATAACCAAGGGTGCACAGGCACTGTCAGATTTGTGCAAGGGTCACTTTTCTTCATATTTTTTTTTAACTTTTGGCAATGGCACTCTGATCTAAGTTCCTTCCAGAAGCAGGGGCTTTAGAGAGGCATCATCAGTACTCCCAAGGAGATGTGGGTGAATAGCACACCCATAAAACAAAACCAGGCACAAACTGTCCTGAAACCCAGAAAACACAACAGCAAGAAGACATGCAGGGGACGAGAATGGCAGAGAAGAGGACAATTCCAGGAGGGGCAGTGAGGGACAAAGGGCCCTGCTGAGAGAGAGCCCAGGGGTGACTCACAAAGCTGAGTCCAGAACTCCCTCCCATCCCAGGCGAACACAGGACAGATGCCGAGACAAGAGAGAGGAGAGATGGTCCAGCTCTCGGGAATTTGAGAAGGACAGAGCAGGAGAACGAGTTAGAAAAGCAAAGAAGAACCAGGGCAAGCGCTCTGAGCCACGGGAGCCCTTGAAGTGGGAACTCCAAGCTCTGGATACCCCAGAGAAAGTCTGAATTCTGAAGACAAGGAGGAAAATAACCAGCCTCTTGGCTGGACAAAGCTGTTCCCTTCCGACAAAGGAGAGCAAGGTGGTACTGGGCTCCAAACAGCCCCGTGTTATCAATTCACATGCCACAGTGTCACCAATCTAAGGGAGTAAAACCACAGTGCTATAAAAGAGCAGACACACTCCGTCCTTCCCGTTCCAAGATCAAAGGGATGAGTTTGCACAGCCAATATGAAAAAATGATACTATCCAAAACCTTTTCTTTGAAATTCTACTTAAGAGTATTCTCCAGCCAGCCCAAAATGAAAACGCACCTGACAAAGGTGATGACCTGGTACCCAAGAAACCATCTGAAGTCTACTTGCCTTCAGGCAGGGTCCAAATCCCTAGGGGACAAGGGGCTGGGCGTCTGAATAGCACCATCAGGAAGGGATGCTTGGAAACAGAGCGGTGACATAAACTGTCACATTTCAGGACAGAGCCCAAGAACTCAGCACATTCCTGGGCCTGTACATCTCCAGTGCTCCCTCTCAGGCACTTACAGGTGACTGCTGCCCCTCATGGATGGCAAAACACTCATGTACAAACGCATACATATGCTCACACACACACACACTAACAGGCACACCTGCATTCACGGTCACCAGCCTTCTTCTCTCCTAATTCCCGCCCTGTGGAGCCATGGCTAAGCATGGTTAGTACCTGCTTGCCTTTTACCTCCCATGTGTTACCTCCTCAGAACAGAACTTAAGTCCGCATATCCCCAGCCTGGTTCCTTCCGACTCCTGGGTTAAATGATCTCAGCAAAACACAGCACCTTGCTCAGAGCCCCAGTCCAAGTGTGGGCAGACCCCACCACAGCCGAGCCGCCGGACACTGTCCCGGAGTGAGCCTGACAGGACTGGCCTGCAGATGGCCTTCTCTTCCCCTCACCGGGTCTCCAGGGCAGCACCCACACTCAACAGAGCCCTCTGCATCCCTGGCTGCTGAGCAGACTCCAGGGAAGTAGGAAGGAAGCCTGAAGTGACACTCCAAATGGGTAAAATGGAACCTAGTTTCTCCTGGCTTCCCTGGCTGTAGCATGTGGCTTTTTTCTTTTCTGCATCCAGTCTCATTCTATGACCCAGGTCTTAAATTCCTTGGGTTAAGTGACCGTTCGTGCTTCATTAGAAGTGACCAGAAATGAGGTCAGATGGCGCCTAAGTCTGCCCTCCGTTTCTGACCTGCTGAGTGACCATAATAATGACGATGGTGATGCTGACGGTGATGATGATGATGATGATGATGAGTGATAGTAATGATGATGTGGTGATGACGATGATGGTGATGGTGATGATAACTGTGGAGATGATGGTGATGATAATGGTTATGATGTTGATGATGATGGATGGTGGTGAAGATATGATGTGATGATGAAGAGGACTATAATGATGATGGTGGTGATGATCATGATAGTGAGTGATCATGGTGATGATGATGATAATGATGGCCATGGTAACAGTAATGGTTATGGTGGTGGTGATGATGAAGGATAACAGTAATAGGGTGGTGGTGATGGCGGTGACAATGATGATAATCACGGTTATGATGGTGATGGCGGTGGTGGTGCTGCTGCTGCTGTTGGCATCTGACACTTCTTGGTGTTCATTTTGACCAAGCAGATATCTTTACTCCTTTTTTACAGATGGGGAAATGGAGGCTTCGAGAGGTTAAGTGACCTTCCTTTTCAATGAATCAACATAACATAAGACAGTCCTCGCTGCCCATCTAGAAGAGCAGATGCTTACAGTGGTCTGTCCAGGCCTGTCCACAGAGAGCGTCATTTCTCCTGTCCTCTGGACCAGAGGCCCTGCATTCTCACACGGCATCATCATCATCCCCCAGAAGCCCCTAGGTTAGCTGCGTGGCAACTGGCACGCATCAAAAACAGGCCATTACCTACCCTGCCATGACAATGAAGAAATCCAGGCGGTTCCATGTGTCCCCGAGGTAGCACTTCTTGCCAAAAATGCCCAGGGCCACCATCTTAAGCACCATCTCCATGGCGAAGAAGATAAAAATGAAGTCATCGAAGACCTGTGGGGGAGGAGGAAGACAGCGCAGGGCAGAGTGAGCTCTCAGGGCGGAAGTGGAAGTCAGAGGCACTGTGAGGTCAAAGGTGGGGCAGGAAGTGAACCTCAGAGGCCCTGGTCCACTCAACCACTTCACAGAGAGGAGTCCAGGGCCCAGAGAAGGGATGAAGTTGCCCAAGGTTGCACGGCCCATTCTCTTCATCGCTTTAGCCCAGACAATGACAAGGTCCCAGGGGCTGAGCACCGGGATCTCCCTCGTTATCTTGACTAATGGCCAAGCACTAAGACAGACAGAACTACACTCTCACCCCTAATTCTCAAAATGGCACACACGGGGCAGCCCCCTTTACAGTTAATGAAACAAGACTCAGAGAAGCCAAGCAACTTGCCCCAGGTTGCACAGCAACTACATGCCATGATTAAAATGAAAGTCGGGTCTGGTTCCCAGGGATGGGCCTCAAATAGTCTACTTCTGTGAAATGGGTACAGCCCCAGAGTCCTGTTCTATGGTTCCTCAAACTCTGCCCAAACCCATGCAGACACCATGTCTGGACCCACCCAGGACCTGAGAAGCAAGAACAGGAAAAAATGCAAGAGGACACCCCTAAAAGACACGGGGAGAGCGGTACTAGGGAGCCAAGGCAGGCTCTAGGCAGAGAGTGTCAGCCGCTGCACTTCACTGGTGTGAGTGGGATGGGGTGAGGACCCTCAGCTGGGAAATAAAAGGAGGCTGGAGGGGCAATTAGGGAGGAGAGGTGGGGAGCTGCACCCGAGCGGAGCCCTGAGGTTGGGAGAGGACACCCCAGAAGGGAGGGGGGGAAGGGGAGAACTCAGAGGCTCACCTGCAGGATCTTGCAGCGGTCTGACAGGCACTCCATGTCGTCACATGGCTGGTACATGCCCAGGGTCACACAGTTCAGCAGGATGACCAGCATGCTCACACACTCGAACCATGTACACAGGCGTCAAGGACGAACTGGTGGCAGAGCGGCCTAAGGTGCTACACGTTCCTGAATGTGACATCCCAGGAACAGACCCACAGACCATCTCTGCCCTCCCTCCCACCCGCGTGGACCCCTCAGTGGCCCAGGCCCAAGTTTTCAAAGACTGTGCAGCTGGCCCTGCCCCACCACAAAGTCACACCCTGGAAGGAACCAAACCAAACCACGGAAGCTTCCACTGGAGGATGCTCCTGGTCCCACCCAGGAAGGAGTGGCCCCCAGAAAGGTCCCCAGCCCCAACAGCTCCCATGCCTAAGCCCTTCTCCGACCACCTTCTCCCATCACCCACCCCTCCTCCTGCAGAGGCCTCGGGATTCCAGTTCACGGGCTCTATGGCATTTCTGAGACCTCCTGGACACACGTTCTCCTGACCGGCCCATCTCTGTGATTGAAGGTCACGGTCACCCTCTGGCTGCTGCTCCCAGAGCAGCCCCACCCAGAGAGTCTGCCTCCCCAGGTTCGGCCCCAGCAGAAAGCTGCTGCTTGGAGCCAGACTAAGATCAGTTCTTCACTCAGCCACAAGCCACCGGCAGGACAAGGCATCCCACTGCCCCGACAGAAGCGAACTTCCCAAGTGCCCCTTCCCCCTGCTAACAACCCCTCTTAGGCCACAGCTGACTCCACCCACATTTGCCTATCTCAATCTACCTACCAAGGGAGCTCAAAACTCAAAGAGACCTCGGGGCTATGTCACTCACAGCCCCACAACTGTCATGAGAGAGGTGGAATCTGCTCGTATCTCCCAAAATGGCCTCTCCTCTCTTGCCCAAGCCCTGGGTCCTGAGGAGATCTGTGCCAAGAAAGTTCATCATGGTAAAATAAAAGTGTAACATGGTAAAATGAAGTTAAACCATGCACAGCACAAATGACTGAAGTTAGACTAAGGGGTGAACCTCCAGACTGAAGAGTCTGACTTCATTGAAGGTGATGGCTGACCCAGAAGTGTTTCTCATCCTGCTTATTCTGTCTGATCTGAGGAGCCTGACAGGCCCTGCCACCAGATATCTGTACACTCCTATCCCTGACTCCATCACTTAGCACCAGGGCCTGCATGTGACTCCAGTACCAGCATAGCATGGCTCTGGGGTCTCAAGCAAGCCTCTTCCCATATCTAAGCTCCCAGAGGGTCCTTACTGGAGTCTAGGGGCACCTCACAGGTCCATAGAGGCTGTCCCAACCCTCCTCTTTAATGGCATCAGTGAGCCATTAAAAATATCAGGGAGGCCGGCGCATACTTTTAATCCCAACACTCGGGAGGTAGAGGTAGGTGAACCTCTGAGTTTGAGGCCAGCCTGGTCTACAGAGCAAGTTCCAGGACAGCCAGGGCTGCACAGAGAAACCCTGTCTCAAAAAGCAAATAAACAAAAAAATCAGGGAGGTGTTTCCTCCTCTGCTCAGAGTTCTGCTATGGCTCCCAGCTTCTCTTGGCTTTGGTCCTTCCCAAAGCTAGCCAGCAAGACCCTGCCTTCCTCTCTTTCCCTTGACTGCCTCCCTCCAGCCTGTGGCCTCCTGCCTATTCGGTCTGGTCTCAGGCACATGCCACCTCAGGACCTTTGCAAGAACTGACCCTTCCACTGGAAGACACTTCCCAAGACTCTCCAGGGCTATATACGGGCACTCCCTGCAAGGAGTTCCACCCACCCCTTCAACCCCAGAAGCCCCTTCCCCAACAGCGCTCCAGCTTGACCTCTCTCTCAAGCATTTCTAGACCATGGAGATGGTGCTCATTGTCTCTGTCCACTTCCAGAGCAGAGTTTGGATAGCTGGGATTCACACTCTCAGTTCAAACCATAACAGCCTATAGATGCTCAACCCAGGTCTGCTGAGTGAATAAATGAGCTTCTCTCAAGGCCCTGGCCACACTAGCTCAACCCCAGCTCATAGCACCATGAAGCCACACCAGCCCACCACAGCCAGATACCAACCACAGTGGACTGGGCCCCTCCTGCCTGCTAAGAGAGCTGACCTAGTTTCCACGGCAACAGCCCCCTCTGCTCCCCAGACCCTGCTCACCTTGAAAGCTGCTTTCCATGGCCTCCATCCCTGCCCTGCTCCTTCCTGTCCCTGGCCTGGCTGCCACTCTCCCGCCATAGCCTGTAATTAATTTCAGTCGCTGCCAGGCCCCCTTTGAGCCCAAGCATCGTTTCGGCAGCAGCTTCATCATTAATTAACTTTCTGAAGTTCAAACGTTCTAATTACCAGCGAGCATCCCCATTCCCCCTTGATCCCCTCCGCCCCACCTCCCTCTCACATCCCAGTTTCTGCTGCCTCTGCCCTTTCTGAAGACCCAAGTCCAAGTGCACCTGGCAGGCCCGTTTACAGATGGGGAAACTCAAGGCCTCTCCTGGGTCACATGGCTAGGATCTGTCGACAGCAGGCCTGCTGGGCTCCTTGGCCAGTGTCCCCTCCCAGCCATGCGTCCTGCTTGTGCAATGCTGTCCCTGCCTTCCCAGAGCCCACGGCACGTCCCTGACCCAGTACCAGCCTCTCCTGGGGATGCAGCTCTGATCCCTGCCTCTCCAGTGGACCCCACGTGATGCCCAGCGCTGACTCCTTGATAAGCCCACACAGAAAAAGAAGAATGAAGTGAGATACAGAGGGGAACGGATTTAACCAGGTACAGTGGTACACATCTGTAATCCCGGCACTAGGGAGGCTGAAGCGGGAGGTTCAAGGCCAGCTTGAGCTACCCAGCTTGTCTACGCAACTCAAACCAAACAAACGAAAGCGGGGTGGAGCTGGAGAGGCCGCTCAGTTGGTAGTGTTTCACTAGCGCAGACATAGGACTGGGTTCCATCCCAAGAATCACAGAAAGCCAAGCATGGTTGCATGGTAGCCAATCCCTGTAGTCCCAGCAGTACTCAGGAGGCAGAGGCAGGAGGATCAAGAGTTGAAGGTCATCCTCAGCTACATTTTGAGTCTGAAGCCAGTTTAGCTGCACGAGGTCCTGTCTTGGAGGGGAGAGGAGAGCAGCTTTACTTCAAGTAGCTGAAGCAGCACTATGTGTGCAACCATACCTGTCTGTTCTTGCCCCCAAACTGGTTTGTCCCCTCTAGCTAATCCATGCATGCCTGTCCCTCTCTTGCTCTAAAGCTTTCTGTGGCTCCCCATAATCCCCTTAGCCTGACACCCAAGGCCTCCTGGATTCTGATCTCAATGAGTTCAATGGCTGAGTCTCCTGCTGGCCCTGGGGGCACACTAAGCTCCTGCTACCTACAAGCATCCCCACTGCATGGTTATACCTTCCCTCTAAGGTTAACCCCCACCCACCCTTCACAACCTCACTCATCTGCCACCCATTCCAAAAGCTTTCCACCTTTCACCCTCCCCAGCTGGTGCCCAGCCTCCCACCCACCTGGTCTAGCACATACCCCAGTGATGAACTTGGCCATCACTATGACTACTTCATGCCAGGCACCCTAGAGACATGGCCTTAACTGTCACTTGCATCAGGAGAGACAAGGAAGTGGGTCTGGAGGGCCATTGCGACTTCCCCAAAGTCACACTGCAGCTCGGGCTGAGCCATTCCAAGTGCCACCTGCTTCCTTTTGTCGCTCAGCTACCCTGAGCATGGCACAGAGGCCCTGCGGGCAGCGGAGCAGGTCCAGCCCCTGGTCCCCTCAGCTCCTGCTGGCCGCAGGCGCAAGGGGAAATCCCAGATGGCAGGGCTTGGGACTCAGCCAAGAGCGCCAAGGCTCAGAAGTCAGGCCAGTGCGGCACCGCTGCCCACGGCTCCTGGCACATTCCCTCGGCTCAGGGATGAAAGGACCCAAGCCTATTGGAAGATGAACCAGGCCATGCATGCAGCGAGGGTAGGAGCTGTCAGGAGTCACAGCCTCCAGGTTGGACAGCTTGGTGGCCTGGTCCAATACCCACTTTCCCAGCATTAGTCATAAGTACCAAGGAGCTTGGAGCTCAAGCAAGCCAGGCTGAATTCTGGGAAAATGGAAGAAAGATGGAGACCCCAAGAGGGTGGAACGGGAATTCTGGGTAACAGAACAAGTGGGGTTTGAATGCTGTCTCCACAAGAGAATGAAGTAATCAATAGCTCCCATTGCTCCTCACATTTCAGGAACAAAGCCCTGGACTGGCATCTAAGGATGTGCAATGGGGACCCAACCACCCTGTCTTCTTTGTCTGGGGATTCTCAATCCTGTAGGGTGACAGCAGAGCAGCCCCCTTCAATCCTGAGACAGCATGGGATCCAAGGCCTCCCCGCATGAAGAGGTAACGGAAAGAGAGATTTGGCCGAGCACAGGGAGAGTCAGAACAGAAACAATACCCACAGCACCTTGACCCCTGGGGATCCCTGAGTCACAACAGTCTGACAAACCCACCAGCCCTGAGCTTCCCCCACCTGTCATCCTAAACAGCCCCAGAGCGGGTGACCACCCTCAGGAGCCTGCAGAACAAATCAGTGTCCGTCAGATCAATGCAATCTCCTTGGTGGCAAAGCTGCCTTTTCAGCAGGCACAAGAGACGACACTCAAACACCCTTGTCGGTGGCAGGGACCTTCCGACACCTCAGCCCCACCACCAGCCAGACTTAAGGGAGCCCTACAGAAGCCTGGACCCTCACCAGCCCTCCCCACTCTCACGGCCTCCCAAAGTCCTCAGGGCCTCACAGAGAATTAATGAGAACATATGGAGTGCCTGCTGTATACCAGGTGCCTAGTGAACACCTGCTGATTACAGACACCTCCCGGGTGACCAAGAGTATTTGCTAATGAGTTTTCTAGCCAAACGTCAAGCCAGGAGTGCAGGCATAGGCCGGTGATCCTGCACTCGGGAGATAGAGGCAGGATGTGTGAGCTTGAGGCCAGCCTGGGCTACACAGATCCTATCTTAAACAGACTTAGGATGTCAGCATGTGCAGCCAGGAGCCAGGAGGTCCCTCCCAGTGTGCAGAGCCAGCATAGCAGGGTCAGTAGGAGGAGCCTCTTTGACAACAGAG